CAAGGGTGCTCATTGCTATTGTGGTGCCTATTCCCAGGCCCCCTTAGTGGATGGAGCTCAGGGATATATGTATATGTATACATACTTACATCTATATTTCTGTACTTAAATATATATTGAGGGCTTCCCTGGTGGCGCAGTAGTTGAGAGTCCGCCTTCCAATGCAGGGGACACGGGTTCGTGCCCCTGTCCGGGAAGATCCCACATGCCGTGGAGCAGCTGGGCCCGTGAGCCATGGCCGCTGAGCCTGCGTGTCTGGAGCCTGAGCTCCGCAACGGGCGCGGCCATGACAGTGAGAGGCTCGACAGTGAGAGGCCCACGTACCGCAAAAAAAAAAAAAAAAAAAAATATATATATATATAGAAAACCAGTTCAAACCAGTACCTTTGATTCCAATCCAACACCACAGGATTTATTCTAGTTTTTATTCTTTCTCTCTGTACTTGTTCTCTTTTCCAACAATCCCAAATGCCCACAATCCTCAACATACTGGGATAATCCAGTCATATGTAACCATTCTTTTGTCACCACGGATGGATGCCCTCTCACCTCTTGGGCTCTTTGACACCCTCTCCAAGCCACTGTTTCCATCATTACCTCACCCAGACACCCTCCTGCCCTGGATTCAGCACCCCACAGAGCCACCAGCACTCTCTGCCCCTGCACTAACACCTACCTTGCTTGGTGTCACCTGTTTTAAAAGGTAGGAGTAAAGGAGCTCCCATCTTTTCCATTGTAATGAATTTATTTAAAATGAAGACACTGGGGCTTTCCTGGTGGTGCAGTGGTTAGGAATCCGCCTGCCAATGCAGGGGACATGGGTTCAAGCCATGGTCCGGGAAGATCCCACATGTTGCGGAGCAACTAAGCCCGTGCGCCACAACTACTGAGCCTGTGCTCTAGAGCCCACGAACCACAACTACTAAGCCCACGTGCCACAACTACTGAAGCCCATGTGCCTAGAGCCCATGCTCCACAACAAGAGAAGCCACTGCAATGAGAAGCCTGTGCACCACAATGAATAGTAGCCCCCGTTCGCCGCAACTAGAGAGAGACTGCACGCAGCAACGAAGACCCAGTGCAGCCAAAAATAAATAAATTTTAAAAATAAAATGAAAACACTAAGTCACTGGAATGTATTTCATTTGTCTTTTGAAATGAAGAACAGCTTTATTAAATGATCCACTAAAGACCTTCCTTGCAGAAGTCCACAAGGCTGTGATAGACTTCACTTCAGAGGTCACCTACGCCCAGCCAGCTGAGGGGGCATCTCCAACAAGGTCTCCATCCATGCAGCAGTGACGGGACTCCCAGTGGAGGAGGTGGTCTGCCTCAGTGCTGGCATCAACACCACTCGCTACAAGCTGATGGTGGCAGATACTGTGATTGAGAAATTTGCTTCAATTAAGAGTGAAATTGAAAAACTGAAGATGAACAAGGACCACTTAGAGAAGGTTTTACAAGGTGGGTCAGCAAAAGCCAAAGAATTAGCATATCCCATGTGCCAAGAGATGAAAAAATTGGTGGGACTTCTATAAGAAGTTTCAACTAGTCACAAAAAGGCTTTTCTATCTTTTGGTCTGTGCACTCCAGTAAAGGCAGCTTTCCTCACAAGAGAAAAATTATAGTTTGGGGACACTTAATTTGGTACACCTGATCACTGGCTTCATTTGATGAATAATGATTTGTAGCTTTCAAAAACAGAAGAAGAAAACCTTCCTTTGGCATCGCTGAAGCATTTCAAAGCAACAGGAACAATTTTTATTCCATCATCCTAGTACCTGCCTTGTGCTTTGGGCTTAGGTATAAAAGTTGAGCCTTTTCCTCCCCCTCTCCCGCTCCCTATACCTCTCTGCCACCTGCCAAGCTCTCTGACTCTTTATCTGTCAAGCTAACTTGAACTCTGTAAGGGACTTTGCATAATTTTTCAGCCTTGGAATCACTAATGGGGGGCAGAGGACAAATATGGTCAGGGTAGATTAAAGTATGACCTCAGTGCCACTCAAAAAAATACAGACTGCCTGGACTATAAGTCTGACTCCAGTCTGACTCGATACTCTTTTTTTTGAGTTTTATTTTATTTACTTTTTTATACAGCAGGTTCTTATTATCTATTTTACACATATTAGTGTATATATGTCAATCCCAATCTCCCAATTCATGCCACTACCCCCCACCCCACCCCACCCCACCCCGCCACTTTCCCCCCTTGGTGTCCATACGTTTGTTCTCTACGTCTGTCTGACTCAATACTCTTAAAGCAAGAAAAGTGCTTGTGTTGGCTGGGAAGGTAGCTCCACATGTTAAACTGCTCAGGAAGTTGTGTGGTTTAGATTCGAGTCTAGTAGAGAAGTGTTTCTGAAACTGATCTTCCTAAGTGGTGTTAATTTGGATAAGGAGATAAATTCAACGTTGTTTGAAACATGAGGGACAGTTTAATTTGAGACAGGTGCACCAGAGCTATTAGAGAGAAGCCGTGTTCCTGAAGGTGGTGCCCAGGGTCAGGGTGTAACACTGTCATCTGGAGACCATGGGTTCTTACACCTCAGAAGTGATTCATCGCCCGATTTTGTGTGCTTCATCTTGAACCTGGCCTCTGCTAATGCTGTCAAATCTATGCAGTGGGTCCACTACCTGCCTTCGTGTGAGTTCATGCTCCCTTGGGCTCTGACTAGGAAATTAGGGCCTTGGAAACTTAGTAGGAAAAGGAAAATCTAATGTACTAAGACATCCTACTTTCCTCTAATTGATTCCTATCTTTGATTAAAGACGTTACTTTAGTAATAGTAGGGGGTTCTATCTGTGGCTTAAAAGATGAACTCAGGACAAACCGCTTCTTTCACTCTGTTCACAAAGGCCTTTTTTTGGTTTGTGGCTGCAGCTGCTATTTTCAGTGCCGGGCTGCATCGATGCGTTGCACATTTTTATATGCTTCTTAATGCGGTGTGCAGGTTGATTTGGGAGCCTGGGTTGAGAGGTGGGAGGAGTGCTGGTGATGAATTTTGCAAGTAAAAACACCAAAATGGTGTGTCACAGCCACCTCACTTTACTCCAGTGAATTTCTAGGTGCAAGATTGGATATCGATTGTCTCTTGACTGTAGTCAGTGGACTGTACTACATGACCAAGTTACAGGACAAACAGCCACAGTCAGATTCCATGCTCCAGTGGGGGCCCTGAGACACAGTAGCCAGTAACCTTGACCAAGGGCTCAAATTTGGCATCTTCACCCTGAGGTAAGCCCCAAATTGCATTCATTCATTCATCCCCCACCTTCCTTTCTCCATTAAAACTTAAAATATCCAGGAATTCCCTGGTGGTCCAGTGGTTAGGACTCCATGCTTTCACTGCTGAGGTCCCAGGTTCAATCCCTAGTTGGGGAACTAAGCCCACGGCGCAGCAAAAAAAAGAAAATCCTTAGAAGGAGCCACACTTTAAACACTTCCACGGGGAGGAGCAGGACTGGAGAAAGCCCTCACGTCCTGTGCCGCCAGTGAGCCCCCCATGCCCTGCTCAGCCTTGCTTCCCATTGCTCAGCATTTATTGGGTGATTAAGGCTGACACTCAGTGGAGCTCAGGAAATGATGAATTCCTTGGGAACTTTGTATTCTCAGCACTTAGCCGAGTAGCCAGCACCTGGCCCACGGTCGTGCACGATGCATGAGGACTGAATGACTAAGTAGCTTTTTCCTGCCATGCCCCCACCCCCGACAACAGACATGCATTGGCACACAGTTTGTATTTAACTTCAGAAGACCGTAGTGTACAGGACTGTGGTTGCGAGTATCAGCAGCTCAAGCTGGCTTAAGGGAGAAAACAGAAGGTGGGAGGACACAGAGTGTCTCATGGACGCCCAGGCAGAAAGGTAGAGGGGCCTCAGGAGCCCTGGGAAGTGTGTACTCACCAGCACTCCCCAGTCTGGCCAAGGACCTTCCCTGCTCCTTGGTCCACTTGTAGGAGGCGACCATCAACCCTAAGGCTTGATGTCTCTGTAATATGAGTGTGTTTGTGTGTGTGTGTGTGTGTGTGTGTGTGCGCACACACATTTAGGAGTAAGCAGTTGCCAGAATGGGTTTACAGACCAAGCAGAGTCCCCAAAAGGCATCCACAGAGCACCCTTTATGTGACATCTGGGCACCACCATTATTTACTTGATCTTTTAAAATTACTTACATTCTTAAATTTATTTTTAAAGGAAACTTTATATCACTGTGATAAATGTAAAATAAGTATTTGTCCTGAACAAAAGTATTTTTAAAAAATAAATACAATGAAAACAAGAGAATAATATAAGTTCTATCTGGATCCCATTGCTGGTCAAAAGCTCTGAGCCCCAGGCCTGGAAACACCGCAGTGGACAGAGCAGAGTCACAGCTCTCTCGGAGCTCACACTTAAATGGGGCGATTCCAACAGTAAACCTATAAAACATGAGTCAGGTGGGCATATGCCAGGAAGAATCGAGCAGGGTAGGGAGGATAGAGAGGTGACGGGGAGCAGGGGAAAGGGCCCTCTGAGGTGGGGTGGGCAGAGAAGATCTCCTGGAGGAGGTGACATTTTTCATGGGATGTGTGGAGGCAGGGCCTTCAAGGCAGAAGGAACGGCCACTGCAAAGGCCTAAGGATCTTGGTAGACTCCACCCCACGGCATGGGCAACACTGCATCACAAATAGAAGCTTAGGGGACCATTGCTCACTCTTGTAATAAAAGTATCTGCCTTTAGCACCTTTTAATAAGCATATTACTGGGAGTTCGCTGGTGGTCCAGTGGTTAAGACTCCACCTTCCAATGCAGGGGACTCAGGTTCGATCTCTGGTCGGGGAACTAAGATCACACATGCCGCGGGGCAACTAAGCCTGCCTGCTCTACAGCCCGCGCGCCACAACTAGAGAGCCCTGCATGCCGCAACTACCGATTAATTTAAAAAACTAATTAAGAGTATTACCCAAGTGCACTAAGAAATTAGAGAGAATGATTACTTGTCTCCTTCAGACCCTCAGGCCCAGGATCTGGATTCTTCTCGGTTCATTTAGGGACAATTAAAATTATGAAGGCAGCCCAACTCACAAGAGTCTCTTATATAAACCAGGATTATTGATCTGTGATCTGAGGCATACCTGACAAGCCAAGGGGATCTCCCCAGGAAAGGAAGCTGCTTGAGAAACTGAAGATCAGAAGTTGATTGCTAAGAATACACCAGAGCCTCAGAGTCAGTGGCACAAAGAGAGGCTTCTGTCAAGCCGTGGCTGTCCCGAATCCCCTGTCTGCACGGGTGAGGCAACCACTGAGCAGATCTGTAGTAACACTACCTGGCATTTGTTTAGACCTTAATACTCTAAAAAGGCTTTTCATATGTTTAATCCTCACAACACCCCTGTGAAGTATAATTATCTCCTTTTTACAGATGAGGAAATCTGAAGTTCGGGGAGAGTAAATGGTTTACCAAGGTCAGAGGACCAGTGTTAATCATAAGGTAATTAGCCTAAGATTAAGGAGGGGTGGTTTGATATAAATGATATTTGACATAATATAGGGGGTTAAACATTCTTGGCTCCAACCAACTGTGCCTGCCAGGGAACATGTCACACCTGCTCAGAGGTTAACCCTATTGTGAGGAGGAGAGATTCCCGGGCCCCATCTGCCCCAAATCTCCCAAGGGAAAGAAGAACACTGCAACTGTCAGAAGTGTAATCAAAAGTCCATGAAATCAGCTACATAAATTATGTTGGTTTTGCAACATTGTACAGTTTGCAACATTTTCATCAAAATAGAAAATTTTAACCCACCACCTTTACCCTGTGTCCTGTGGCCCTGCCTGCGAGGTGAGGCTCAGCCTGGGGTGAAAGGAGGACCTGGATTCCGTGCCTCATCTTCCCAAGGGTCTCCACTGGGTTGGGGCCAGTGTCATGGACCGTGTCCTGTTGAGTGGCACCATGCTTGGTGCTCAGAAGGGCCCTCACCAGGTTCAATGCTCTGCTGTCACCATCTTGAAATTCTTAACAATTTTTTAACAAGGGCCCCGATCCTGCTGCTGCTTCTTCCTTGCTGCTTTTCCTCCCTCTTTCTCCTTCCCCAGGAAAAAGGGGTCTTCTCTTCCCATCTCGTCAGCTGGTCCTTGGTGGCCCTAGGTTGGGCCTTTCACCCAGGGCAGGACCCCCTGCCTGCCTTGGCTCTTTCTGCCTTTCCAAGCCCCTCCCCCCCATCAGGGGGGCCTTCCAGGCATACCAAGCCTGGACCCGCACAGCTCACTGCTCCTGCTGGAAGGGCCCTGCACGCACCCTATCTCCTCACAGCCGCTGCCATCTCCTCATTCAGGGCTCAGCTGCAACATCCCCCCTCTGAGACTCCTTTCCCACCAACAACCTTGACCAGTGTCACCGCCATTCCTCAGAGCCCTCCCGTGCCCTCACTCACGCCACATTATGAGGCTTTATTGTATTCCTGACACCTGGAACTATTATTTGTTTATTGTCTGCCTCCTGCCTCTAGACTATAAGCTCCTTGGGTTCAAGAGACTTTGTCAACTTTGTGCACAGTTGTATCCTCAGTACCTACAATGGTGTCCTGCACATAGTTGGTGCTCAATAAATACTTACTGTGTGGGTGAGTGCACAGAGGTGCTGGTTCCACAGAGAGATCAGGCATCAAAGTGAGGAAAGTCAAGTTCTGGCATCTAATCCAGCAGGAAATAGTGGGGCTGGAGATGGAAGCCCAAGCTGGTAGCCCAGGGCCTGTGGACAGAAGTTGCCCTGTAAATGTTTCTCAGGAGCCAGGCATACCTGGGAAAGGGTAGGGAGTAAGAGTCCACAAGAGAGCAAAGCTGCTCATCTCCCCAAGGGAGGGGGCCCACTCAGGGTGGTTTCATGGTACAGAGATTGCAACAGAGTGAACAAGCTGATCCACTTTGAATCTTTAAATGCCACCAACACTTGGATAATTCCCAAATCTATGTCACGAGCTAAGGATCTCACTTGATCCTTGAACTAGTTTATCTAAATACCTCCTGATGTCTCTCTCTCCTAGAAGGCCCTCAGGCACCTCAAACTCTGTCTGTCTGTCCAAAACAACTCATAAGAGCACAGACCAGGATTGAAATCCTGGAGTCACTAATTCATTTGTGCTCTGCATCATCTTGGCTCAGTTGCCAGATTCCTCTAATTCTCAGTTTCCTCAACTGTCAGTCAGGTATGAACAATAATAATCATCCAGCAGCCCAAGCGGCCCCCATAACTCCATCCTAACTCCTTGAGGGGACAGCATTGAGAGCCAACCTCTGTGGGCTATTATGTATTTATAAGGCTAGTTTGCGCAAGGCACGCTTTATCATACGTTGTGTATTTAGCAGTTATATAGATGGTATGTCCCTTGGCAACTTTTGCCTAGAGAGAATAACCATGTGTCCCTGAGTCTTGATAAGATTGTAGCAAGAAGCATTAATCTACATCTTCTCTCAAGTCTCAAAGAACAGTTAAGAGGAGATAAAACCTTCGAGCTTTCAGTGAGTTTCAGGCTGTTGCCCTCAGCCAGAGTCAGCTTCTTCATGAGGCACAGGGCACAATCTCCTTTACAGTGCATTGACTTGGGCCCACAATACTTTTAGGGGCTCTTGAAAACGTTTTAATTTGATTTATTTTAAAACCAGAAGAGGGGAATTCCATGGTTTTCCAGTGGTTAGGACTTCGCACTTTTACTGGAGGGCCCAGGTTCAATCCCTGCTCGGGGAACTAAGATGCCACAAGCCCGCAAGCCGCCTGATGCAGCCAAAGATTAAAAAAAAAATTTTTAGTAAATTAAAAAAAAAACAGAAGGAAAAAATGAATAGTTGGAAATGAATATATGATAATGAAGGCAGCCTAGGTTATGTTTGTTTTTATACCAATACATTTATTTAAAAAAAAAAATTGGGGGCCTCCCTGGTGGTGCAGTGGTTGAGAGTCTGCCTGCTGATGCAGGGGACACGGGTTCGTGCCCCGGTCCAGGAAGATCCCACATGCCGCGGAGCGGCTGGGCCCATGAGCCATGGCCGCTGAGCCTGTGCGTCCGGAGCCTGTGCTCTGCAACGGGAGAGGCCACAACAGTGAGAGGCCTGCGTACCGCAAAAAAAAAAAATTTTAATGAATAGAGGAAAGGGCTCATGAAATCAAAAGTGCCCAGAGCCCATGAAAGTCACAATGTGACTAGGCCCCTCAGATGGCATCAGCCTCCCAGATGGAGGGGCAGAGTTGATGGAGGTAGATGTGAGTGAACCCCTCACTCTACCTTCCCCCTCTGCCCAGCCCACACTGTGTCTCAGGGAAACATCTGTGGAGAGAATTGTTGTGTAAAGTCTTTAGCATTTCTGTATGCATATAGGGCAGTCTAACTGTTTGAGCAAAGTCTCAGTGGGTCAGGAATTTGGGACGGTGGCATCCGTGGCATCGAGGAAAAAATCCAGGCTTTTTACATTTATTTGTACAGAAATGACTTCCATAAATGGCATTTTCCTGGAGCACAGAAGAGCAGGACTTCTCGGGAGGATGTTACAGAGCAGGTAACCCTTGGGCAGGGTCTTGGAAGATGAATTTACCAAGTGGATGGGGATGGGATGATGGTGTCTGGCCAAAGAAATGGAATTTCACAAAGACCCGTTTATGGGGGAAGAGCAGCAAACGGACAGGATCATGGCTGTTCTGGAAGGATGGTACATGGGACAGTTCTCTGAGAAAGAAATGGAAAATTTTATTGGAGCTAACCTGAGGATTATAACCCTGGAGACAGTCTTTCAGAAAACTCTGAGGACTGTTCCATCAGTTAGAGGTCAAAGCACAGTTATATAAGTTTTTGAGACAAAGGGTCCTACCTCAAATGATGTAGTATTGACACTTGACACAATCCAGACCGACACATGCACAGTGAGTAGTGGGTCATGGGTCATTGTGGCCCCCTACAAGATTAAGAAGGAAGGTTATTGCTTAAGAGGGTCTGGTTGATGCAGATGCACACTACACACTAAAGGGGAGACAGGAGGCCCAAACAGGCAAAGAAAAATTTTGTTTAAATTTTTCTCATCTTGCCATAGAATATGAATTTTACTTCATCAATGCCATAATTAGGGCTTCAATCCAGAGAAGAAGCAAGAGACTTCAGGGTATGGAAGGAGAGCCTCCCAGTTTGAGCCACCCACGGCCATCCTGTGGGGCCATCCTGTGGGGCCATCCTGCAGCCAGATACAAATCTGAAACCAAGAAATTGGTGGGAAAGTATTTCAGTTAGGGAATCACCCGCATAAACGTGGTGGTTGGTTGAAGCCATTGCAGTGGGTGATATCTCAGTGAGAGCCGAAAAAAAAAAAATGGGAGAAAGAATCCAGATATACAATGAAAAAGCAGAAGCGGTGGAAGGTGAGGATCCATTCAAGGTTCATGGCTGGAGATTGACCAGGGAGGCGACAACAGAGCCGATGGAGGCTAACAGTGGTTGTCCTCAGCTGGTGTAATCCTGTTTTTTTGCCCCCTTGTTATTTTCTGTATTTTTAAACTCTTTTATCAGTAAAAGAGTTGGCTAAAATAGACATTTTATTGGAAAAATAAAAGGGGTAGTTCCCAATAGGTTAAGCGCTGCTGAGAGGCCGAGCGCACTGAAGGCTGAGCAGACTTACAGACATTGCCCACCTTCTTCCCCCAAAACCGCTCCCCTGCCCCAAACCTCCAACCCCCAAGGGAACCAGTGCAACTCCTGGCAGCCGTGTTTTCCTCCCAGTGACCTGTTCTTGGCCACAGATGATTGGACAAGGGTGTTCATGTGATACCAGCTAAGCCAATCAGGGCCCTCCCCAGGAGATTGCCTGGAGAGGGCGGCGTGAGCTTAGAGCCGGGGGCCGATCTCCAACAGGCGGGCCGACCTTGAGACCCAGGGTAAGGGCGTAGCAGCCAGCGGGGAGAGCCTGTAGAAACAAAAGGCCCAAGGGGGTAAAGCCTGGGTATTTAAGGAACTAAGTGGAGGCCAGGGTAGGGTCACCAGAAAGAATGGTGGAGTAGGTTGGAGAAAGCCAGGACTAGACCACCAGGGGCCTCAGAAACCCCGCTGAGTTGGGAGTTTTCTCATTACAAGGAGAAGCTGTTGGAGGGTTTTAAAAGAGGGAGTGGTCTGACCTGAATTACAATTTTAAAAGATTAGCAATGCTGGAAAATGTGCTGGTGGGGGGGGCAAGCGTAAGGAGCAGTTTGGAGGCCCCCGCGCTATGCAGACCCCTGAGGGTGGACCAGACGTCAGAGGCGGCGGGGAAGATGCAGGGAGCACGGTCCAGACAAGACCCAGTGGTTGGGGGGCTGGTGAGGGAAGGGTGGAGTCGGGGCAGATGATAGGTGAGGGGGATGCTGTTACTGAGATGGGAAGGAAGGGAAGACGTTAAGACCTCAGTGTGGACATGTTAAGTTTGAGGTGTTGATGGCCCGTCACAGGGGAGGTGCTGAGAAGAAAGCAGTGGGGTACATCAGTCTGGAGTTGGGGGATGTCAGAGCTTGGATGCTGGAAATATGGGTGGCATCAGCATGCGGCTGGTGTTAAAGCCACCAGCCTAGATGAGACCACCTGGGAACTGGAGAGAAGGGGCCCAGCACAAAGGCCTGGGGTCCCCCAACATTCACAGGACTGGTAGAGGGGACGGAGCAAGGAAGGGAGGGGGGGAACCGAATGTGTTTTGACCCAGAAGCCCACATTGGAGACTGTCCTGGGTGACCCCCCTGCCAAGGCCAGTGAGGGCTTTTTAGATTTGGTAAAGAAGTCACCCGACTTTGAACGCTCTGGGTGGAGTGGTGGATCTGAAAGTTAAATTGGGGTGGGCTTCTTCCCTGAATGAAAGCTGGATTAAAAAGTAGCTATGGGGGGCTTCCCTGGTGGCGCGGTGGTTGGGAGTCCGCCTGCCGATGCAGGGGACGTGGGTTCGTGCCCCGGTCCGGGAGGATGCCACATGCCGCGGCCATGGCCGCTGGTCCTGCGCGTCCGGAGCCTGTGCTTTGCGGCGGGAGAGGCCACAGCAGTGAGAGGCCCACGTACCGCAAAGAAGAAGAAGAAAAAAAAAGTAGCTATGGGGCTTCCCTGGTGGCGCAGTGGTTGAGAGTCCGCCTGCCGATGCAGGGGACGCGGGTTCGTGCCCCGGTCCGGGAAGATCCCACATGCCGCGGAGCGGAGGCCACAACAGTGAGAGGCCCGCGTACCGCAAAAAAAAAAAAAAAAAAAAGTAGCTATGGAGGACCTTTTGGGGGCAAATGAAGAAATATGAAAATGGACTTTATATTAGATTATTGTATCAGCATTTAATTTCTTGGGTGTGATAATGGTCTGTGGTTATGAAACAGGGGGAAGGGGCTTCCCTGGCGATCCAGTGGTTAAGACTCCACACTTCCACTGCAGGGGGCGGGGTTTCATTCCCTGGTGGGGGAACTAAGATTCCACATGTCATGTGGTGCAGCCAAAAAAAAGAAACAGGAGGGAAGAAGGCAGGGCACAACTTTAAAAGAATGACATAGCTGTTGAAGATACCACAAAAACTGGTTAGAACTGATTAGGCCCAAGATGGTGGAAGATTCCACTTCCAGTAGACCTTGAGTCTCATTATACGCTCATTGTAATACATTAGCATCTAAATGGCACACTCGAGGGCACCATGATCGGTCTGAGGCTAACCATAAAAGGCTAAAAAGTGGGCAGTGGCCCAATTCTTGGAAACCCCTGCCCTCCCCCGCCAAATAGTTGGAATAATTCTCCCACTTTTATGGGCTGGTTAATTGCATAATTAGCCTATGTAATTATCCAGCCCGTAAAACTAACCACCCCAGGGAATTCCCTGGCAGTCCAGTGGTTAGGACTCCACGCTTTCACTGCCTTGGCCTGGGTTCAATACCTGGTCGCGTAACTAAGATCCCGCAAGCCATGTGGCAAAAAAAAACAACAACCTAAACTAACCACCCCATATTTTGGGGTTGCTCTTGCCTTTTGAGGCAGACTGCATTCTGTCTATGGAATGTGTATCTCTCTAAATAAATCCACTTTTTACCTATCACTTTGCCTCTTGCTGAATTACTTCTGCACTGAGACATAAAGAACCTGAGCTTCATTAAGTCCTGAGACCAGGTGTGTGATCTCAATTAAAAGACAGTGGGTTCGAGTCCCAGCCCATGGGTTCGAGTCCCATCTGAGTTGTGCAGTTTCAGTTACGTGAGAGAGGTCTGGTTCTTAGGAGACACATGTTGTAGTGTTGTAGTATTTAGGGGTGAGGGAGCAAGATGCCTGAAAGTTTTCCAGTGGTTCAACAATAACAAACTATACATATATATCTGTATATGTTACATATAATATATGTAATATTTATATAAATTGTACTTATGTTATATATAGGTATATACATAGGTATATACATAGTTTATATATAGGTACGTTATCTATTAGAGAGAGAGATATAGCATATGTGGCAAAATGCTAATTGGAAAATCTAGGTGGGGGGCTGTTTTAACACTTTTTCAACTTTCCTGTAGGCTTAAATTTTTCCTAGGGACTTCCCTGGCAGTCGGATGGTTAAGACTCCACACTTCCACTGCAGAAGCCCTGGTGGCGCAGTGGTTAAGAATCTGCCTGCCAGTGCAGGGGACACGGGTTCAAGCCCCGCTCCGGGAAGATCCAACATGCCGCGGAGCAACTAAGCCTGTGCGCCACAACTACTGAGCCTGCGCTCTAGAGCCCACGAGCTGCAACTACTGAGCCCACGTGCCACAACTACTGAAGCCCGCATGCCTAGAGCCCGTGCTCTGCAACAAGAGAAGACACCACAATGAGAAAGCCAGTCACCGCAACGAAGAGTATAGCCCCTGCTTGCCACAACTAGAGAAAGACCGCGCGCAGCAGGGAAGACCCAAGGCAGCCCAAAATTAAATAAATAAATAAATTTTAAAAATTAAAAAAAAGGAAAAAAAAATAGAGTGAACTGGCAGGGCTGTGTTCCCACCCTGTTTGTTGTTTGGCTTGAGGCGTCCCAGCACCAGAGCCTGCAGGTTGTTGGGTGGTGCGGGGGTGGCAGCCTCCAAGAGAGCTCACGCAGATGACTGGTCCCCAGTGCCTCTGCCATCAGTGTCCTTGCCCCCACAGTGAACCACAGCTGCCCCCCACACCCCCTGCCTCCCCGGAGACCCTCCATGACCAGTTTTTGAAGAGCCGGAAGATCCAAGCAACAGGTCGTTATTCTCTGAAATTATCTCTCCGATTTCGGATGTGAAGTTCAGCCACAGTGGGAGGTATATCATGACCAGAGACTATCTGACCATCAAAGTTTGGGATCTCAACATGGAAAACCGGCCCACTGAGACTTACCTGGTTCACAGCTACCTCTGCAGCAGGCTGTGCTCCCTCTACAAAAATAACTGCATTTTTGATAAATTTGAGTGTGTGTGGAATGGGTCAGACAGTGTCATTATAACAGGCTCCTACAACAACTTCTTCAGGATGTTTGACCGAAATAGCAAGTGTGATGTTACTCTTGAGTCCTCGAGGGAAAACAGCAAACCCCAAGCTATCCTAAAACTGAGCGGTGTGCGTGAGGGGCAAGCAGAAAAAAGACGAGATAAGTGTCGACAGTCTGGACTTTAGCAAAAAGATCTTGCATACAGCTTGGCATCTTTCAGAAAATATTGTAGCAGTGATGGCTACAAATAACCTATATATATTCCAGGACAAAGTAACTAGGAGGACACGTTATTACTTAATAATCTC